TCCTCCGCTTCCTCCTCCTCCTCCTCCTCCTCCTCCTCCTCCTCCTCCTCTAAATCCGCCTCTTCTAGGAGCGCAGAGGGCCCGCGAGGTGTCTCCAGGCTCTGGACCCCCAGACATCGGGCGTCTCGGAAAAAGTCGAGGCGGCAGTTTTGTTTCGTTTTCGGCTTTGGGGGGGACCTCACCGGGCCTCGGGGCCGTCAAACAACGGCTCGGGATGAAAAACTTGTCCCAGGGAAGTGGTCAAGAGGTCAGGGGAACGTGATTCAAGAGAATCGTGACTCTGGACATTTGCTGAGGGCCTGCGAGGTGCATCCAGGCTCTAGGCCTTCAGATGAGGTCCTGAGGGTCAGAGCAGATGGGGTCGAAGGATCGCTCCGCAGCGCGGATGCCTCGGCGGCGCGGCCCGGTGCAGAGGCCGAGAGTCTGCATCGCCGACGTCGCCGGCGCATCGCCGACGCCGCCGACACATCGATGATGCATCGGTGATGCATCGCCGATGCACATGCGATGCGGCGTGGTCCTCTGACCCCATCTACTCGGACCCCATCTTGAAGACCTCTCATTGGAATCAGGAGCGAAAATAGGAATTGATTACGGTGGAGGCGTTCGTTCAGGAACGCACCCAGGATGCTTCAGACCTATCTGATGAGGGCGGCGGTGATATCCATGGCCAAGCCTCGATTGGAGTTCCACCGGCCTCCAGACCCTGGATTCCTTATCTAAGGGTTCCTTATCCAATGTTCACACCGTACATGTGCATGCATGTTCATGTTTTGTCGCGAGGGTGTGTTACGCAAACGTCAGTGACATGAGGCTGGCCTCGCAGACTGGGGAACCGTATTCGTGTACGTATAGCTGGGCACGCACGCTTTTCGCTGGCTCCCTAAGAGGGGGGGGGTGCTTCAGTATCGTTTAACCGATCCCATCCCTTCGGCGTGACCTGGGCCCCACTGGCCGATTTACCACCCTAGATGGGGATCGGTTAACCGGCACTCATTGGCGGCGGTCCACAGCGACCCCTACCCCTTCCGTGTGGCTGCGTCTGCGTTGCCGATGGGACTGGTAGCGGACACGTTCCGCTCACCCTTGGCACCTCCCGGGGCCCACCACCTTGAATTGGTCGATCCAGTTCAGTTCGATACAAAGTCGCCCAGCTCGATCCGATTCGTTTCGATGTTCAGTTGATCCGATGTGTTCCAATGTCGTGCATGTGCCTCTTGGTATCTCTTTAGGTTTAGATGTTAGCCGCAGCCTCAGCGGCACTAGACCTCACAACGGGTCGACTCAGGACAACGCACCAGGGCACCACGGTCAAAACCAGCAGCAGCAGCAGCAGCAGCAGCAGTACGAAAATCGCGGTGATGCGACATTGTGACATTGCTGTAGTTCCAGTTGTCGTTGTGGCGTTGCCTTCGGTGTCGTTTCCAGTATGCAGGTTCGGATGTTAGTGTATAGTTTGAGATGTTGGCGTCATTGCAAATGAGAACTAGTTACCTCGCTGACCGCTATTTCTATAGTACATCGTTGCTTGAATATTGCTGAATACTACAATCAGGTACGCCTAGATCTGGTTGAACGTTCGACGGAGACATTCGTGTAGCCGCATTTGCCGATTTATTTCCAGATTGAGTTGTGCCGATCAGTACGGCAAAATTACTTTGTGGCCCGACTATTCGTTGGCACCGTTCAATTGGATGGTCTGTTCTGGGACGTTCATGTGTTGAATGGTTTTACGGCGTTGATCCCAAGTATCATATCGTCATGCAGCTAAGCTTGAAGTGTTGTCAATCAACCCTCTGACGAGTTGAGAGGAGTAGAAAGAGTAAAAGGATTCAAGTTGGGATGATGTCACACAAAACTGCAGGGCGCGATTTGGCGTGGGAGCCCAGCATTGACGTTCAGAAGCCACACCGCATGTTTGGTTTGCGTTCGTCCCAGTGGGTGCGACATCCCGATCTCGGTCACGGAGCGTGTTCTTATTGTTCATTTGCGCGCCATGGGAGAGGAGTCCAGCGTCGATTCTAGTAATCCGCGCGGATCTTCGTCTGGTTATGTTTATGCCGATGGTGTTTCTTTGAAGTTTGGTCACAGAGCTAAGCTCTTATTTCCCCCCCTCGCCCCATCTTCACCCTGTGGCGCCCGAAGCTGGCAAGGTTAGAAAGAACGTCCTCGCCAAGTGCTACGGCGGTGACGTGTCGCGGAGAGCCGCACCACCTTTCGGCAGTTGCCGCGGCCATCGGTTATCAGAGGCAAGACCTTTGCTTCTTGCCTCTGGTAACCGACGGGCTGATGAATGTTCGACGTTCTTGCAGAGCATCGGGCATTCATCAGTCCATCAACTACGCATTCCATAGGTGATTCCTCCACCCCCTCCCTCCCTCGCCCGTTTCATCCCTCCTTCCCCCGTCGCCGGTGTCCGCTTCAGCGTCGTGCGTCAGATTATCCCTATTCCTTCCCTCACATCTACTCAGCACCTAACTCGTGTGCCCGCCAGCCCATCAACAGGTGGTCAACCGAGGCAATGCGTTGACAAGTTCGCTCCGACAGCAAAACCATCTCCCGTTGTCATCCGCGTGTCTCCTCATCCTCATGCTACGTGCTGTGCCTCCCCCGTCTACCCCCGTTCCTCGTCCTTCGCCCCCTCACTTGGTGCGGGCATGGGCAGTTGGTGTCGTAGCATACCCCTCGTCAAGTTCATCCCCCTCGTTCTACTCATCCTTGTTCCGCTCTCACCATCTTTGCTTATCAACCGCATGCCACTGCAACCGAGCTTTGCCGAGCTACATCCTGAATCGACCTGCCGAGTATCCTTGAAAGAGGGAGGGTGTGAGGGAGATGGTAGGGGAGTCGAAAGGCGGAGGGGGGAATGAGGGCGAAGGAGGGGTTTTGGATTGCGACGCTGATGAACCAATGCTTGACAGCAAATAGGGCGCTGCAACTAGCATAATAATACATAAACCATCGATCTGCACGGGCACCAAGAACGCAAGTTCAGTACAGTAGGAAGGGACCCCCGCGACCGAGCGGACAGGACGCGTCGAATCGAAGCAAGGAGTCCAGACCTTCCCAATCCTCACGTACACCCCCACGCTCCATAATGGACACTTGGACGGCAAACGCTGAAGGCGGCAGCAAATGGCTTGCTGTGCCCTTGGGCGAAGAGGGGAGGAAGGGAGGCCAGATCCGAGGAGATCGGCTTTGTTATTCACGCTGGGGGATCCGGGGCCCTTCCACCCCTGGGGGGGGGGGAGGGCCATCGGCTTCGGCCATCCCTCCCGATCGGACAGGGAAGGAGCGACACCACCACCACCACCAGCGGGCTACCTCCAGCGAGGAGGTCAACGATGCCTCCCTGAGCTGGAAATTGGGTCGAAGAAGAAAACAGCGTCGTAGAGACGAACTGTTGGCGCTCCGCGCGGATTTCTTGGATCCGCGTTGGGCCCCCTGGCGGCGCCTCTGGCGCCGCCCCTGGCTCGCTCCGCGCGCCAGGAATGGGGGGTCCAGCGCAGATCCAAGAAACCCGCGCGGAGCGCAACAATACATGTCTGCGGCGTTTGTTTTTCTTTTAGCCTCCCCGAGCTGGAAATCGGAGGCGTCGCAAGAGGGACGCCGCACGGCAGAGGGACCGCCCCACCGGGAAGGCCCTCCCTGACCCCCTCGCGATGGTGGTGCTGTCGATGTTTGCGGTTCCTCTCTCAAGAGGTCATCGACGAGATGGGCTCCCACGGGGGAGGTGAACAAGGGTGCCCGCGGCTTCGGTTCAGTCGATTGTTGCGTCGTTGCCCCGCCGTTGCGTACTTCTCTGCCAGTTTCGGTAGATCTGGTGTCGGTCGGTCAGCTTCAGTTTCGGTGTCGTCGGTTGTGTGGTCGCTTTGGACGGGGGGAGGGGGAGGGAGAGGCACGAAGGAGCGGGAGGAGGGGGAGGGAGAGTGGCGAGGACGAGGAGGACGAGGAAGAGAAGAGAAGTTCAAAGAGGAGGAGGAGCAGCAGCAACAGCACTGGCGAGGGGGAGGAAGGATGCCGCTCCCCCTGGTGGCGAGGAAGATGAAGCTGCTCGCGAAGCAGGCCAAGGGGAAGGCGAAGATGCAGGCCGCCTGGGGCGCACTGCGCGCCCACGGCTCGGCCAGGGCGGAGAGAGGAGGGGGGGAGGAGGGGGAGAGGGGGGAAGAAGAAGGGAGGGAGGGGGGAAGGTCAGGAGGAGGAGGAGGAGGAGGAGGAGGGGGAGGAGGAGCAGGGAGAGGAGGGAGGAGGGGGGCGACGACGTCGACGGCGAGGGGGGAGAGGAAGGCGGGGAGGAGGCTGGGAGGAAGGAGACAAGGAGGACCGAGGAAGGCAAGGACGGCGGCGATGACGAGGGAGGGTGGGATACGGAGGAGGAGGAGGAGGAGGAGGAGGAGAACGGAAGACGGACCAGAGGCAGCCGATCCGTGCTTGCGCACAGCAGACAGGAAATTCAGAGTGAGGCTGACGGTGGCAACTCTGGGGGCGGCAGCGGCGGCGGCCTTCCATCGGCTCGCACCTCCGCCCTCGTACACCCTAGGCGATGCTTAAGAAAACTTAAGTTTTCGGCCAGAGTCTCGATTATTCTTAAGGTTTCAATGTAAATCCGATGATTTTGATAGAAGTTCTGGGTTTTTATTCAAATTCTGAGACTATGACTTTCTTAACCCATGATTTCTTGAGCATTTCGCAGGGTGCACCGCTGCCGGCCACGCCACCGAGGTCCGAATTGCCGCTGGCACTGCTGCTGGTTTCCCGCTGCCCGCAGCGCGCCTCCCGCGCTGCCTCCCGCGGCTGTTTTGCTGTGCTCGACCTCGCGTCGGCGCGGTCCTCGTGATCCCCCTTCCGCTCGGCCAGAGGACAAGGCTGCGCCCGCCGTGCACGGGGCCACTGCTTCGCATACTTCAGGAGGAGAAAAACCACAGACACAATGAATCCTCGATTCCCCAGAAAATAGGGGCAAAAAAGGGAAGCGGGGGGGAGACAGAAACCCAGAAAATATAGGAAAATATGGGGAACATCTTGATTTGTGTGTATTTCTTTGTGTGTGTCCTGGGGCCCCTTCAATACTGCTCCGCCGCTTCTCTCGCCTCCCGCGGCCAAGGGGCCTGCCGGCGCTCCGCCGCGCCTGGCGCACCGCGAGGAGGCCCCGACGGAGTCGCCGGGCCCCGGGTCCAGCCACGAGCCGTGCCTTCCTATGCGGGCTGGCTGTAGTTGTACGTCCGAGCTCGACCGCCGTTGACGCTGCAACCCACTGCTCCCATTTGGTTTGGGCACGGTCCCGCCTCCGCACTATACGTCGGGGTGCAACACGGACAGAAGGTAAGGGCGCGCGAAGCGCGCGATGGCCCGTAGTCGAGATATCTGTTGCCAGGTGTTCTCTTCAATCCGTGGGAGAGCCATTGACAGGCTCCATTGTGAATTGCTGGTCTTGGTCAGCCCAACTCTCGGCCCCTTGGCTCAACCTTCAGACTCGCTGTAGTCATCCCGTGCAAGTGCGTCAGCATTATTTGATCGATGATTTGTTCAGAGTTCATATACACATTACATACGCATTTCGACTGTCCGGGCGCAACGGCTATCCGAGAGAGTTTCCAGCGTTGTGCTTGATTATATGCAATTGTGTGTATTGTGTGTATTGAAGACCCCTTTCCTAACACGGTTTACCAATCTTCCGGACATTTCAACGAGTACGTGGCCCCAGCATTTCGATGTTACAAAGCATGTGCCAGTCAAGAACGTTTCCAGTCGAATCCGAGGGCGCGCGCTGCGTCTACACATTCATAATGCAATCAGCAAGTCGAACGCCAGTCATCATCCAGATCTACTGATTCCGCTTCGTTATATGGGCCAATGACAGAAATGTTCTTGCACTTGACTGTTTGCTTTCATCTGCCTCTTTAGTTTTCATCCTTGGCAGCATCATAATACTTGCGCCCCTCATGTCTTCTCATGTTTTTCCTTGTTTCTCGCAGTTTGTAAGCTCCCAGCGGGGAAAACACAGACAGAAGTATTCGTGGATTCCCGGAGAATCTTGAGAAGATGGAAAGTGGAGGGGGGTGACGACCATCCAGAAAATATTGAAAAAATGGGGAGTTCGGGGATTTGTGTCTATTTGACTTTGTGTCCCTGGGCCACTTCAAGTCTCTTTTAGTGGGCTCGGCGGTCAACTGCTCGTTGGGCGGAGGGGGGTCTTTCACTGCTGAGCGCATCGGCGGAATATAACAGTCTGTATGGGGCAGATTGGCACAGTCAGAGCAAGGCTTAAGGATTGACCTTCGAAGCACGGCGCCGTTCCTTCGGATCCATGCCTATTAGCATGTTTCTTGTTTCCTCTGTCCACGAAGGGGGCCATGTCATCTTGGCGGGTTCTGGGCGGCTTGCGTCCTTGTGCTCGCTATCCATGATTTGCCTTGCCTGTAGCCTCAATTGCGTGGTTGGGCATCACTGCTGCGTCTGGCCCCAGTGGCCCGCTGGGCGCACGCGCCAGGCCATCGGTAAGGTCAACGTCCCTTCCGACGCGATCCTCGCGGTGATCAAGGGGACTTGAGGCGTAGTTTGTTCCGTTGTATTGCATTTGGTGTTGCGGTGAGTTCTCGCGGGATGTTTGTCGTTGCGAGTGTACAGGCTTCGGCGTGGTGCGCTGGAAGGCAGGGAGCGTCAGCGCATGGTGCACTGCCGCGTCGTCGGAGGACAGGTGCACGTTTTGCTCGGATGCGGTTTAGGTGTTTCTGGATTCTGACATGGTGGATTCTGCCAATTTATCTCAGCCCATTTTAGAGCAAGACTCGCAGCGTGTTCGTTGGAGATTGCCCCCCCCCTCCCCCCTCCATCATGAGCTGACAACTAGCACCCATGCCTAGACGACCCCTAGATTTCTCGGGGTTGGGATTCCGTGGGGGGGGGCTATGGGTGTGTGTTGTCGGATGGGGACCCCCGCTCGAACGGGAGCTCGGAGCCCCCTCGGTGCCCGACAACTCGCACCCGTACCTCCAGCGCCTTCAGCTCCGTTCCCGCCCCCGCTCCCCCTCCCGACAGGCTCGGAGGAGGTGCTGCTCTCGCGCGCGTCGCGCCCAGAGCTTCCAGCCTCAATAGCTGGAGCCTCGAGGCTCGAGGCTCGAGCCTCGAGGCTCGAGCCTCGAGCCTCGAACCTCGAGGTTCGAGCTGGAGCATCGAGGATCTCGAGGCTCCGGGACCTCGAGGCCCCGGGAGCTCGAGGCCCTCCGAGGGCCTCCCCGAGAGCGTCGCCGAGGGCCTCCCCGAGAGCCTCCGAGGGGCCTCCGAGGCCCGATGGGTCTCCGAGGCCCGAGGGCCCCCTTATCCAGCGCCCGCGCGCCTGCCCCCCCCTCTCCCCTCCTCCTCCTCCTCTCCTCCTCCCTCCCCTCCTCCTCCCCCTTCCTCCTCCTCCTCCTCCTCCTCCTCCTCCTCCTCCTCCTCCTCCTCCTCCTCCTCTTCCCCCTCTTCCTCCTCGTCCTCCTCCTCCTCCTCCTCCTCCTCCTCCTCCTCGGGCGCGGAGGTGACCGGCCCCCCCGTGCCCAGATCATCGGATGCCGATATGTTTCGGTCGCGATCGGCAGCGGCCGATCCACACATCCAAATCGGTCGCGGCCGATCGCGACCGATCCCAAAATCGGTCGCGGCCGGTCGCCACCGATCGCGGCCGATCGGTCGCGACCGATCGGTCGCGACCGATGTTGAAGCAAGTCGGTCGCGACCGATACCGAAAGTTGAAGCAAAATCGGTAGCGACCGATCTCGTCGGTCGCGACTGGAAAATTCCAATATCCAATGATCAGGGTGGCCCCGAAGCCCCGGCCGCGGAGCGCGCTCCTCTCCTCGGGAGGGCGGGAGCCTCGAGAGCGGGGTCCAGGCAAACGCCGGGCCGGACGAAAGGGGGGGACTGGGGGAGAGAGAGGGGCACGAGGTCTGCTGCATGCAGCTGGTTTCGGCCCCGCCGCCAGGCCCCTCCCTCGATGCATGGGCGCCTCCGGCGCCGGGAGGCGCCAGGAAGATCGGCTACGTGAGCTGATTCTCAAACCCCCCCTTTGCTATCCCCCCCTTTCGCCCGGCCCGAAAACGGGGGTCAGCCACACCGCCCGATCTTGCAGGATCCTGCAGGGCCCGGGTCGCATCGACCCGGGTTCAGGATGTTGCTGGATCCTTCGCCTCGACCCGGGTTTGGGTGCAGGATCTTGCAGGATCTTGCAGGCTTGACTGACCCGGGTTTGGATTGACCCTCGCGGACTCTTGGGGCTCGGTATCTCGACCTCGCGGGGCTCGATATCTTGGATGCGGGTTCAGTTCTTGCCCTCCCAGATGGTGTCCGAGAAGATGGAGTCGGAGGATCGCGCCTCGTCGCCGATGCGTCGGCGATGCGGCTCGATACGAAGCCCGATGTTCCTCACGCCGACGGCGCCGATGCATGGTCGACGTCGCCGACGTATCGCCGCCGCATCGGCCATGGGTGGGCGATCCTGCGCGATCCAACGACCCCATCTACTCGAACCCCATTTTTGGAGACCACTAGACGCTTCGCGTAACCTCACCAGCCCATCGAGTTGCCCTGACCAGGCATGTGGGGGAACATACAGTGGAATAAAGGCTGGGAAGACATAGTACCCCAAGAGGGGTGGGAATGGAGGAGGAATCAGAGAAGAAAGAGGAGGAGGAAGGGGAGGAGGAGGAGGAGGAGGAGGAGGAGGAGGAGAAGGAGGAGGAGGGAGGAGGAGGAGGGAGGGGAGGGAGGGAGCGTAGGAGGAGAGGGAGGAGGGAGGAATAAGGCGCATGAGGAAGAGAAGAGGAGGAGGCGAGAGAAAGAAAGGCCAGCCTTTTTCGGAGTCTCTTCGGACGTCTCTCGAGAGGTTATTTGTGGCCTGTTGGGGCGTCGTTGGGGCCTCTTGGCGGTCCCGCGGGCCTCTTGAAGCCTCTTGGGTTGGGTGCCTCGAGGGACCCTCCCGGGCACCTCTTGGGACACTCTTGGGAGCCTCGGGGGCCATGTTGGAGGTGGTCGATGACAGAAGGGGGTGCTCAATTAAGGTCCACCCCCAGGAAGCCAAAACTGATTCAAACCCTCGTCGAATCAATGATTTTGGTCTTCTCGCCGAGGCCATCTTGACGCTCTAACGACCCGTGGAGCGTCCCGTCCAGGGGGAGGGGGTAGGGGTGGGTCAAGACACCCTTCCCGCCCGCAAGTTGTCTCGCTCACTCAACCCGCCCTCCTAACACATAAGTAGCACCTGGGCCTCGGCACGTTCAGCGGTCGTCTATGGATGGGCAGCTACTGGGAACCACCCATGTGCGCGATGGGGCGAGGTGCGCCAGATGCCTCAAGTGCTCCAAGGGCGCCACGTGTGCCGCATCGTCAGCCGCGCCAGGTGCGCCCGCGCACGTGACAGCACACATCGGGAAACATGTCGGCCTCCACCATCCTTATCGAAAACCAGTGCACAATCGCGGCGGGGACGCCATCATGATGACTGGTGGTCATGCACACAGCAGGCAATATGCCAGCCCCCCGCTCGGTCCTTCTCAAACACCAATGGACAGTGGTCGCGGGGTGGCCGCGCATGATCCAGGTTTAGCCGCGAAGTTCATGTTGTATTGTTTTTGGCAGGGAAAGTGGCCGTGCGCAAAGCAGGGAATATAGGGCACCACCGCCGTCTTGGTCAAACAAAGAATGCAAAGTGCTCGTAGGGTCCATGAGCATTGCCCAAGACTTTGTCCCCAATTGTGGTTCGTATTGCTTTTTGACAGGGATGGGGGAGGGTGGCATTGGTCCTGGTCGACTGCCGGTCACCTGGGGGAGCGGGTGTTTATTCATTGGGAGAAGTGACGAGTCCCTCTCCGAAGGGGAATAATGGGAGTTGCGTCAGAAAACTCCCCAGACCACTCACGCCCTGAAGGGTTAGAAGGATTCTCCAGCGCTGCGATGCGGCCCGACGCTCGCACGGCACAGTCGTGCGTCCTGGCGCAGCCGACGCGATTCGATGCCAGTGCCGTGCCGAGGCTGCGCGATCCGACTCCCGCTGCGGCCCGATCCGATTGGCCGATCCGATGCCGACTGACCTGGCACAGGCGCCGCTGCCGTCACGACGCTGAAGTAAGAACCACTCTGGGCTCGAGAGGGGCCATGGTCTTCGGGCCGCTCCTCGGCTCTCGGTCGGGGAGCCCGTGCGACGCCGTGGCTCGCCGCTGCCGGTGAGGCCGCAGCGGTCCTCACTCGTCGTCTCCTCCCGGGTAGCACCAGCGGCTGCCGGTGCAGACACCTGCGCTGCGGTGCTCCGTTCGCTCGCGCGCCCGTCGGACGCGGACGGAGAGGGAGGGCGCGCCCGGCCCGAGGTGGGCGGCACGAGGGCTGGGGATCGCAGGGCACCAGCCATACGCCTAAACTCTCCCCGAGCGCGTTCCACTACTCGCAAAGTGCCTACTCGCAAACTTCCCAAAGACACATGTCTGCTTTGACGTAATCTATCGTAGATCCCCCCGCGGGGGATCCAGGCCATTTGCGAGTAGTTATTTTGCGGGTAGTGGAACGTGCTCGTCTATACACCGACCTTGGCTAGGCCGATCTCGGGCCCAGACTGGCGCTGGTCAGGCCGGTGCAGGTGCATAGCAGGGTTGGACCTGAACGGTTTTTTGGTCAACTCGTGGCCGTGTTGTTTTTCGCTCTGTTTTGCATTCGAGGCGAAGCGAAGGCAAAACAAGGAAAAGCGAAAACAATACGAAAACGAAAATCACCGATTGTGTTCAGACCTGGTGTGTGTCTGTGTAGCTTGGCGTCTTCCCAGGAGACGATGGGACGAGCGTTAAGTCGGGCCTGTCCCTCTACAGGAGGAAAATTCAAAAATTGTCAAAACATAGACTGGGGACGATGTGTTGAGCATTCGTTTGACAATTTTGGTATATGCTTTGGGTATGTTTGATTGTTCGTCCGACATCCGCCTGTGGGGGGGACACGCCCGACCTCAGACGAGCGCAGGGCGGCGAGCACGAGCAGAGCAGGGGAGAGGGGACCCCAAGAGCCGACGCCGCGAAAGAAAGCATGCGACTATCGCCACGGCTGGAGTCCTGGACCCCACCCTCCTCCGCCCTCCTCCGTCGTCCTCCTCCTCCCTTCCTCCTCCTCCTCCTCCTCCTCCTCCTCCTCCTCCTCTCCTCTCGCTCCTCCTCCTCCTCCTCCTCCTCCTCTCCTCCCCTCCACCTCCCTCCTCCACCTCCTCCTCCTCCTCTCTCATCCCGTCCTCCTCCTCTCCGCCTCACCTCCACCTCACCTCTCTCCTCCCTCCTCCTCCTCATACATCATCATCATCATCCTCCCTCATCCTCATCCTCCTCCCTCCCTCCTCCTCCTCCTCCTTCCTCCTCCTCCTCCTCCTCCTCCTCCCCTCTCCTCTCCTCATCCTCCTCCCTCCTCCTCCTCTCCCCTCCTCCTCCTCCTCCTCCTCCTCCTCCCCTCCTCCTCCTCCCTCCTCCTCCTCCTTCCTTCTCCTCCTCCTCCGCCTCCTCCTCCGCTCCTCCCTCCTCCTCCTCTCCTCCTCCTCCTCCTCCACCTCCGTCCTCCTCCTCCTCCGCCCTCCCCCTCCTCCGCCCTCCTCCTTCCAGGGCCCCGGGGGCCCGACAGCCAGGCCAGACTGGCAGGTGCGAACAAGATTTGCGACGCCCCGGGTCCCAGGGTACGTCTGAGTTGGCGTTCCCTTGCCTGCATTGCTCCGTGCCGTCGTCCAGCCCAGGCATGCTGAGCCCGATGGACGTCTGCCTCCATCCCTCGCTCCTGCGCCTTCGGGGCCCCCCCCGTCGCCGCGACCGGGGTCCCGCCCGAGGTGACGTTCGAGACGCGCTCCAGGAGAGGTTTGGGGGCCAGCTTTAAGTCCGGCTTGTCCCTCTACAGGGGGAATCTTCAAACATAGTCAAAAAATAGTCTGGAGACGATTATGTCATTTTTGAACATGTTTGAATATGTTTTGGGTATTTTTTATTTTTCGTCCAAAATCCGCCTGCAGGGAGACATGCCCGACCTAAGGCCAGCTTTGAGGAATAAGGAGGAGCTGAGAAAGGAGAAGCCGTAGCTGGCAAGGGAAGTGATCCTTGCGTGAGCCGCTTCCACCTCCTCCGCCGCAGACGTCCCCGGGCCAGGCACCCCGAGGTTCGCGCGAGCACCTTGGCCGAATCGCTCGCAGCTCAGAGCCTCGCTCACAGTAATGCCAGACGGAGAGCAGGTCCTACTGCCCACATTCCCCCCCCTGGCTCCCGAGCGCGATTCCCTGCCAGGCTGGGCACTGAGCATGCCGCATGGACTACCTTGCACGAGGTGGCCAAAGCGGTGTACAATACACGCATGGAATGTGACAGTATTAAACGAGTACAACCAACAATGAGTTCCAGATGCACTCTTCCTCTTCATTCTCTTCTTCCTGCCGCACATGGCGCTTCTGGACCACGTTGCGCTTCTGAAGTCCGTGCCTGCGCACGGCGCTTCTGGAGCACCCGCCCGTGCACGGAGCACGTGCCTTTTCGTGACATTTGTTCTGGACTCCTCGTCGCCGCGCCGCTGTTGCGCGCGGCCCTACGCGGTGCCCACGCGGCACCCGTCCCCTCGGCCACATCTGTTATGTTCTCCTCGCCGTCGTGCTGGCGCCGCGCTCGACGACTACGCGGCGCCGCCCACGCAGTACCCAGGCCCCCCTCGTACGGCGACGCTTGCTCTGCACTCATCTTCGTCGTGCTGGCACCAGCGTCGCGCACGCCCCAACACGGCGCCCGCGCAGCCCCCCCCCCCCCCTCCCCCGCCGTCTCGACGACATCTGATCTGCACTCCTCGTTGCCTTGCCGTCGCCGCGCACATAGCGCCCACACACCCCTCCCCCTGGCCTACTACCACCTACCACCGGCAACACCCGAGCGCAATCGGTTTGAATAGTCTCCCCTTCCCGGGGATGAGATTCAAGGTTTCGAGCCTTGTCCAGCGAGTCCATTGAGTGCGATCGTGACCAGATTATCGCTCAGCAATCGCCTCCTCCCTGGCAATTCCTCTTCCTCCTCCGCATCCTCCTCTCCTCCTGAGGACTAATGGGCGAGTTCGTTGGAGTTTGGTGCTGTCCAACTGCTGGACTTGGGTGCCCTCCAACTTCTGAAGTGGAATGGAGGTCGGGGGGGGGAAGAAGGAGAGGGGAGAGAAGGGGGGAAGGAGAGGGGGAAATGGGGAGGACGGAGAAGGGGGGAGGTAAAGTGGAAAGGAGGAGTGGGGAGGAGGAGAGAGAAAGCAGACAGAGCGAGGGAGGGAGGGGAGGGAGAGAGAGAAGAGGGGAGGAACATCGGGAGACGGGGTGTAGGGGCTGGCCAGGTCCTCGAGGCGGGCACGAGCGGGGTCAAGTCTTGGGCCTTGTAGTCGTATTCGTTCCCGCCGTCGTCGTCGTCCGAGAGGTTCGCAGGGGATTGTCAGACGTTCGCGCGGATGTTCGCGCTGGCGCTTTTGGCTGTCAGGTGCCCGCGCGCGCCCATCGGCGCGCGCGGCCGAAAATTTTCATTACGGCTGGGCGCTGTGTCTCGCGCTCTGCTTTGTTGCAGTTTTATCGGAGGCCTTTGCGGCGGGTCACCGCCGCCCTCCAGGCACCGCCGCCCCCCAGGCATCTTGGAAATGCTTTGTGTTCTAAAAGGTGTCGCGCAGAAGTGGGGCCGCGCCTGTGAACTGCGCCTTCCAGTGGGCGGAGAGACAGTTGGGGGAATGCGGGGACGACCACCGGACCGTCGTGGGGTTCTTTTCTTCGGGGCTCAAGAGATGGGGGTCAATGCAAACGGGGGTCAGCCACAGCGCCCGATCTTGCAGGATCCTGCAGGGCCAGAGTCGCATTGACCCGGGTTTGGGTGCAGGATCCTGCAGGATCTTGCAAGATCCTTCGCGTTGACCCGGGTTTTGGTGCAGGATCTTGCAGGATTCTGCAAGGCCTGACTGACCCGGGTCTGGACTGGCCCGGGTCAGGAGATCCCAGATTTCTAACTTTCTTGGGTCTTCCTGATGGCCTCCCTGGGGTCCTCTGGGTCCATCTGGTGGCTCTCTGTACCCGTCGCAAGGGCGCGCCCGGGCCGTCTGGCGCCCTCGGAGGCAGGGTTCGAGGCCTCCCAGGGCTGTCCCGGGGTCCTCTCGTGGCCCTTGGAGGCAGTCTTGGGGTAGCCTGAAGTCGGGCCTGTCCCTCCACAGGAGGAAAACTCAAAAATGATCCACAAATAGTCTGGGGACGATTTGTTTTAGAATTTTAAACCATTTGGGGAGTATTTGTTGGGTACGTTTTATTTTTCGTCCAAAGTCCGCCTGTAGGAGGACATGCCCAAGATGAGGGTAGTCTTGGGCCCTCTTGGGGTCCTCTTGAGGATGGTCGGGCCGTCTTGTGCTGGTCCTGGGGGGCTGTTGGACTGGCTCCGACGCTCCCATGACAAAGACAAGATCCCGAAACCATGACAAATTAGCAACACCATAGTACTGTTCACGTATCTGCCTCTTGGGCCGATCCCGCGGGCACCCATGACAGCCTAACAGAGCCTCCTGGAGCCTCGTAGGACCATTTTAGGGCCATCTTGAATCGTCCCAGAAGTTATTCTGGGCAATCTTGGAGGCCAACTTGAGCTATCTTGTCAATCGTGGAGACGAGTTATCTCTTGCTTGCGGGCGTGACCCTGTCTTCCAGGTGGCCGGCGTGTGTGTGTGTGTGAATGTGTGTGTGTGCATATGTGCGTGCGTGCGTGCGTGCGTGTGTGCGTGTGTGCATGTTCGAGTGCGTGTGCGTGTGAGTGTACGTGTATGTGTACGTGTGTGTGTGCGTGTGTGCGTATTTGTGTGCGTGTGCGTGTGTGCGTATTTGTGTATGTGGGTATGTGGGTATGTGGGTATGTGTGTATGTGTATGTGCGGATGTGCGGATAAACGTATGTACGTGTGTGCGTGTGTGTGCGTGTGTGTGTGTGCCTGTGCGTGTGTGCGCGTGTGTGCCTGTGCGTGTGTGCGCGTGTGTGCCTGTGCGTGTGTGCGTGTGCGTGTGCGTGCGCGTGTGCGTGTGCGTGTGCGTGTGCGTGTGCGTGTGCGTGCGCGTGTGCGTGTGCGTGTGCGTGTGCGTGTGCGTGCGCGTGTGCGTGTGCGTGTGCGTATGCGCGTGCGCGTGCGTGTGCGGTGGTGCGTGTGCGTGTGCGTGTGCGTGCGCGTTGCGCATGCGCGTGCGCATGCCTCGTTCGCTGCGCGTGCGCGTGCGCGTGCGCGGTGCACGTGGCGCCGTGCGCGCGAAAGTGCGCATGTGCGCATGGCGCTGGCGCGTGCGCGTGCGCCGTTGCGCCGCGCGCGTGCACGTCGCTCTGCCCGTGGGGCGCGTGCGCGTGCGCGTGCGCGTGCGCGTGCTCGTGCGTGTGCGTGTGCGTGTGCGTGTGCGCGTGCGCGTGCGTGTGCGTGTGCGTGTGCCTGTGCGTGTAGCTGGACGTGTTCGTGAGCGTGCGCGCGTGCGTAAGCGTAAGCGTGTGCGTGTGCGCGTGCGTATGCGTGCGCGTTTGCGTGCGCGTGCGCGTGTGCGTGCGCGTGCGCGTTCGCGTGCGCGTGCGCGCGCGCGTGCGTACGTGCGTGCGTGCGTTCGCGCGTGTGTGTGTGTGTGTGTAGCGTGTGTGTGTGTGTGTGTGTGTGTGCGTGCTGCGTGCGTGCGTGCGTGCGTGCGTGCGCGGTGCGTACGCGTGTGTGTGTGTGTGTGTGCAGCGTGCCGCGTGCCGCGTGCGCGTGCGCCTGTGCGTGTGCGCGTGTGTGCGTGTGCGCGACACGCGCGCGTGCGGCGTGCCTGCGTGCGTTTGTGCGTGTGTGCTTGTGCGTGGCGTGTGTGGCGTAAGCGTGCGCGTGTGCGTGTGCGCGTGCGTGTGCGTGTGCGTGTGCTTGTGCGTGCGCGTGCGCGTGCGCGTGTGCGCGTGCGTGCGCGCGTGTGCGTGCGCATGTGTGCGGTCGTTCGCGTGCGCGTGTACGCGTGTGCGCATGTGCGTTTTAGCGTGTGCGTGGGTGTGTGTATACGTGTGTCGCATGTGCGTGCGCGTGTGCGTGTTCGTGTGCGTGTGCGTGCGCGTGTGCGTGCGCGTGTGCGTGTGCGTGTGCGTGTGCGTGTGCGTGCGCGTGTGCGTGTGCGTGTGCGTGTGCGCGTGCGCGTGCGCGTGTGCGTGCGCGTGCGTGTGCGTGTGCGTGTGCGATTGTATGTGCGTGCGCGTGTGCGTGTGCGTGTGCGATTGCGTGTGCGATTGCACGTGCGTGTGCGTGTGCGCGTGCGTGTGCGTGTGCGTTTGCGTGCGCGTGTGCGTGTGCGTGTGCGCTTGCGTGTGCGCGTGCGCGTGCGTGTGCGTGTGCGTGTGCGTGCGCATGTGTGCATATGCGTGTGCAGGTGTGTTTGTGTGTCTGTGTCTGTGTCTGTGTGTGTGGGCGTGTGTGGGTGTGTGCGTTTGTGTGGTTGCGTTTGTGTGCGTGTGTGTGTGTGCGTGTGTGTGCGTGTGTGTGTGTGCGCGCGTGTGTGCGGGTGTGTGTCTGTGTGCGTGTGTGCTTGTGTGCGTGTGTGTGTGAGTGGCGACGTTTCGAGCGTGTGCGTGTGTGTGCGTGTGTGCGTGTGTGTGTGTGTGTGTTCGTGTGTGTGGGTGCGCGTGTGTGTGTGTGTGTGGGTGTGTGTGGTCTGTGTCTGGAGTGTGTCTGGTGTGTGTGTGTGTGTGCGTGTGTGTGCGTGTATGTGTGCGTGTGTGCGTGAGTGCGTGGGTGCGTGTGTGCGTGCGTGCGTGTGTGCGTGTGTGCGTGTGAGCGTGTCTGTGTGCGTGCGTGCGTGTGTGCGTGCGTGCGTGCGTGCGTGCCTGTGTTTGTGTGTGCGCGCGTGCGTGCGCGTGCGTGTGCGTGTGCGCGTGCGCGTACGCGTGCGCGTGCGCGCGTGCACACGTTCGCGCGTGCGCGCGTGCGCGCGTGCGCGCGTGCGCACGTGCGCGCGTGCGCGCGTGCGCGCGTGTGCGCGTGTGCGCGTGTGCGCGTGTGCGAACGTGCGCGCGTGCGCGCGTGTGCACGTGTGCGCGTGTGCGCGCGTGCGCGTGTGTTGCGCGTGTGCGCGTGCGCGAGTGTGATCGTGTGGCGTAGTGAGCGTGCACGTGCGCGCGCGGCGGATTTATCTGTGCGTGCGCGTGTGCGTGCAGTGGCGTGAACGTGCGTGCTTGCGTGCGTGCGTGCGTGCGTGAGTGAGCGTGCGTGCGTGCGTCGGGCCGTTGCGCGTCTGGCGTGCTGCCGTGCGCTGCGGCGGCGCGTGGCGCGTGCGCGTGCGCGTGCGCGTGCGCGTGCGCGTGAGCGTGTGCGTGTGCGTGTGCGTGTGCGTGTGGAGTGTGCGTGTGCGTAGTGTCGTGTGCGTGTGCGCGTGCGGTGTGCGGTGCGTTGTGTTGTGTGTGGCGTGCTGCGTGTGCGTGTGCGTTGTGGTGTGCGTGTGGGCGTAGTGCGTGTGCGTGTGCGGTGCGGGTGTGCGGTCGTGTTGCGTGTGGTGTGTGCGTGGTGCGTTCGTGCGTGTGAGTGTGCGTGTGCGTAGTGCGGTGAGGTGTGGTTGTGCGCTGTGCGTAGTGCGTTGCGTGCGCGTGCGCCTGCGAGTGGCGCGTGAGCAGTGCGAGTGCGCGTGCGAAGTGCGCGTGCGGTGCGTGCGTGCGTTGCGTGAGTGATTGCCGCTGTGCGTGCGTGAGTGCGTGCGTGCGTGCGTGCGTGCGTGAGTGCGAGCGTGCGTGCGTGCGTGCGTGAGTGCGTGCGTGAGTGCGTGCGTGCGTGCGTGCGTGCGTGGT